ATAGTAAAGCAAAATGTGTTGCTTATATACTGCCCTGTAGCACTTAAAGCTCTCTGGGAGGTTTACAAGTTAATTATGTAGGCTACACATTGCCCCTCAGTGAGCTGGGTACTCAAGTTTATTGACTTCGAAAGAGCAGATGGCTGAGTTAACCTCAAGACAGCTGGATAAAATTCAGGTCATGGACAGAGTCTTCACTACAGTATAGCAGTTTAACCGTTGTGCCATGAAGCTCCTACATGACCTGAATTGGGGTGCTGCAGAGAAAATCATAAACCGATTAACACCTTTCCTTTTTTAAAAAAGTTGCCTTTCCGCTAGTTTGTTACCTTACCTTCATGTAACATTCTCCAGTTATTAACACTAACAGTCAAAAGTCTTTGTTGGGGATTTCGAGCATATTCTGTTGCTCAGCATTAACACATGCACACATGTGTTCAAAGGGCTTTATTTGTCATGAAAGTAATTGGCTCTTCTTGACCAAACTTGTTGTTTTGATGCTTGACTATGATTGCTGCACAGAGAAAATAAACACATTAGCTGCTGTGCCTGTCACTCAACATCAAAGACTTCTTGTGTCCGGCAGCAAAGGCTGGTATTTGTCATTAAATCTAATTTGCGTGCCGTGCTGGCTCTGATCAGTACACATGACACTCCCAGCATTTCCCCCATCTGTTCAACTCCCCCATCAGAACACCCGCCATCACCACAGTTATTGTGCCCCGAAGGCTGCCTTGGGTATCCATCTTCACTTTCAGAAACAGTTGTTGTGAAGTACTGCGGAAAAATATTGACCAACTGAATCACAAATCTCCGCCAAGCAGGGAAGTACATGACCATAAAATGGACAATGTGAACACCAGATCCCTGGAATAGACTGAATTGGAGCAGACTGAATCCTAATAAGCTCTGTAATAGACAGGTTCCCAATTCAACATATGTAGCTGTAGCTGATTATTTGACCTTGAAGATAATTGCTCGCCTCACTTGGCTTGCCTGTTTTTGTTCTTAAGATAACTAAAATTGCAAGCCTGTTGCTGTAACCTATCATCTTGAATGCTGGGAAGCTTTTTTATATATATAAAAAATTCATACATTTAACACTTGAAAAAAAAACCCTGGATACCAATGTTTACCACAGTGAGCCTTCCAAGAGGCTTCACAAGATAAACCAAATCTCCTTAAGTTTTTCTTATTTTATACAGAAAATGTGTCTCGACACCTTTATTTTATACAGAAAATGTGTTCACCCCCACCCCAACATAAGCTCAGTTCTCAAAACAGCTACCTTATCACCTTATTGCTAGGTGTAAATAACATTTAAAAGGACACTCAAGGAAAGCCTGTTTCCTTTATCTGCTTTTGTCCACTAACCCATGCGTTTAGAAACCATTACAAACTTGCCATCCCGTTTCTTGTTTTCTCTTCTCAAGCTCAGCCCTTTTTATTTTTTTAAGCATTTCATTTACCTTTTGAAGTCCAAATGCTCAGTGGGTAGAAACTGCACTATATGCTTTCATTTTCCAGAACATGTGTGGGTGATATATACACCTACCTCTCTTCCATCTGGGCCTTGATTCTCTTTAGTATTTCTGTTGACACCAAAAGGTGGAAAGACATCTGGGACAAATGCCCAAGTTGTGTTTTCTTATATTTCAAAAACAAAAATTCCAGTATGGTTAGATAATCTTTGTGATGGTATCAAACGACAGATCTTCCTTTTATTTACTGTATTGAGTTTGTGGGGCTCATTCTAAGAGGTCCCTAGCATTCATATGTCAGAGCAATGTTACCAGTAGGAACAGCGACTATTATCTATGACAATATTCCATGTGTATGTGTGTAGGGAGGGGGGGGAGAAGAACATTCTAGCCTTCTTGTTTCTGTGCTCTTAAACAAAAAAGGAAAAATAAGCTCCTATCACAGTGCTTATTTAAAAATGTTTACCTGATAGCCAGCCAGCCACCATACTTTGAATATCACAGCACACAGCACAAAATAAAAAATAATAATGATATTGGTATCATTTTGTTCTCTATATTGCAGATAATATATCTTCGCCAGTGATATAACTTTTGCAACATACAGTACTTACCACTGGCACAACTTAAAATAATGTTGCACAATTAACTCCTAGTAGTTATTCTGACTGCTGTAAAGAATACATCTCTGTGTGTGCATGCACATTGATTTAGTGAAGTACATAAATTAATAAGACCATGATGGGAAACTCTTGGAAACACAAAAGAACAGAAAAATTAAATACAAGATAGTTTAAAACTAATTAGCCTTCTCAATAAATGTTGGGTGAATATTTGTTCAAAGACAAAGTCTGGGGTTCAAACTGGAGGCCCAAACACAAGCAAACATGCTATTCTTGTTATTTCACATAGTGGCCATATCAAATCAAACCAGACGTGATTAAAACCAACAAAATCAAGACTGAGACATTGTTCTTTAAACAAGATTACAGTAAATCTTGTGATTATTAGAATAAGAAGCATGAATACATCAAGTAACATGGAAAGCAACAGAATGAATTCTGTCCCAGTGAATATTCTAAGATGCTTAGGTCAATTTGTTGGAACAGAAAACTGCCCAATATACACATGGAAAATTCAGCATACTAAATTCTAAACATACATGACCAGGAAAGAGCAATGAGCATGTTTGCAATAATAGGCTTCCTTCTGATACTTCAGCAAATGGCCATAGGCTTTAAGTCTGGGAGAGTCAGAAAATCACTGTGGATTCTTTGCCTTTGAACCGTTATTTCGGCATTGTTTAGGAGATGTAGCTTAGTGCAAACTAGGCAGCATTTTAATAGGCTGCCATGTGTTTAAGGCATTATAACAGCAAACTGCCTTGATGACAACAATCTTGATTAATGATACTAGCAAAAGGATAAAATATCTGTAACACTGATGACTTGATGAAAATGTCAGTGGAAAAAAGTGATGTTTATCTGTACTAAACTTCTCACATAAGGTTACAGGAACATGTGGCTGCAGGTACAGTTTACTGTGCAGAGAATAAGTAGCCATAACAGTCATATGTGGCACAACACCTATGAGGATCACAGTGCCACTCAGCAAAGAGGTGAATATGAGAAGAATAAATCAGACTGAGTTAAGCAAGAAAGGGACACCTAATCACATGGGAATACATCAGGAAATGGATGCAACTTGGCAGAAGGGAACCACAGGGTGACAAAAACTGAGATAAAAAACTAATATATTGCTTAGATCTTCCAGATATTATATACAAAGTATTCTTGAAGGCTTAAGCATATACAACCCTAAGTATATACAAAATTGGGAGTAAGGCCCACCAAACTCAATACAGCTTGTTTCTCAGTCAAGAAGCACAGTATGCCACTTAGTGAATACAAATCATTGGGGAAAGTTAGCTCTTGATCTGTATCCACAGGGTGCTCTTCATTCTCAAGCTATGTTAAGGAAAGTGCCAATAACTCACTTTAAGAATGCCAACTTGAAACTGAAAATATAGATCTGACTATAAATACAATCCATCCTCTACCTAGCTATACCACAAAACCCAGGGAATATATCATTTCAAAAACAAATTCTTTCAATACTTAAGAGGGCTAAAGTTATTGATTTGGGTTCTACCTCCAGTAATGGGGGGAAAATCCTGATCAATCTTCCACTTAACTTCCCTTCACATGCAGGAGGATGAAAATTATTCTTCTCAGTCTTCTCCAGGCCAACCAATCTTCAGTCATTCATCTTAGGTCTTTATCACCAAACCCTTCACTGTCTTTTTGCTCTCCTCTGGACATATTCCATCTTGTCAATAACTGTGATGCCCAGGACAGAGCACAATAATCTAGGTCAGGAGTCTCCAAAGTACAGCCCACAGGCCACATTTGGCCTGCCTTGCCTTTCTGTCTGGCCTGTGCAGGCATGTGGGTGGGAGGGCATGCAGGTGTGCTTGCAGGCAGGTGTATGTGTGGATGGGCATGTGTATGTGCATGCGTTCCTTCGGCCCTCTAATATATGGGAAATATATTATGTGTCCCTCACTGTGAAGTTTGGAGACACCTTCTCTAGGTGAAGTCTGACCAAAGGAGCATGGGAATGTATTACTACTTTCTTCATTCCAACACCACTTATGTCCATATAGGATAGCACTGATTATTTTTCTGATGCCCCATCACACTCTTGACCAACATCCCCCCCTAATTCTCCATAAGAGCATGGAGGCTCCGCTCCCTGCATGCAGAGTTCCAGCTGCAAATGGAAGCAAACACTCATCTGGCTGTGTGTGCCCGATGGAGCGGTGTGCTTCTGCACACCTGCGCAGTTTAGAGGGAACACTGACTCATGTTTCACTTGTCTTCTATGAAGATCCTTTTCCAACCCTTTTTTGGCAGGTCATATATTAACCATCCTATATTTGGGCATCTGGTTTTTCCTGCCTTTGCATTTATCCTGGTTGAATTTTATTTTCTTTTGGCCTACTTCTCCCATCACTTAAGGTCAGCTATAATCCTGACTTCTGAGGTATTTATTAGCTAACTTTTGCAACTTAGTGTCATCTGCAAATGGCATGAAAACCCTACTAGATTTCATCCACATCACTTAGAAAGATTCTGAATAACAGAGTGGCCAGGACTGAACAGTGATTAAATACTCATGGAACACATGTCACATAATGGAAGATATGTGCAGTTCTATTATCATCAATGTGCACCATCCAACTATAATAGCTTTGTGACCTTCTGGATGAGCACATTTATTTTTCTCTCACCCAACAACATGAAACACACATCCTCTTTATCCTGGGCTTCAGTTTCTTTCCTTGTTTAGACTGAGAAAAAAAATCTGTATTAACTCTTTACAGATATATGCACATTTCTGGTCTCTTAATTATGACACAAGACATTCAACTGATGTTCTACAATGAATGTAGATTAAGTGACCAGATATAGAAATATAGTACCCTGTAAGCTGTTAAAATCACTAATGACAGTTAAAGAGTGCAAATGTACATTCTTTATTCTGCCATACATTTAGATACAGAATAAAATTTGAATTTTCAAAATATAAAAGTAATGGCAGCTCTGCAAGCTGTCATTTGGCTTTTGAGTATAAAGCACATGTAACTTTTCCAGTTTTTATTGCACATCATTTACAGGTGTGATGTTTTTTATTTACAGTGTTTGGGCAACATCTCCCCCCCCCAATACACACAGTGTTGCACAAACAAAACTTTATATGATTCAAACACTTTGTCACAACATAACTCAAAAGTTATCTTTTAAAAATCCTCCCCTTACCATCAGTTCTCCAGAAAGAAGCTTCTACTTTGGGAGTGACTTCTTACGTAATTAGTAGTCAACCACCAATATAATTAGCATGAAGAAGTGAATATTGTGAAGTAAACCATCTGCTGCTTCCCAAATATCCATTTCTAAGGCTGATTTTTTACACCTGCAGTTAGTGAGCTGTCAGTAGAAAAAGAATCAGAAGTACTGTTTCTTTGTAACCAGTTTGATTCAACATTGATCTTGAAGTAAAATACTTCATCAGCAATTATATTTATTTTATACAGAAAGACAGGAAATCCCAAGTACAATACATAATTTGTACTCTAGGAATGTTTTAATACTGTGGGACTATATTCTGTGCAATGTGTTAATTCATAAATCTGTGACACCATACAAACTTTGTATATAGTTGCACTACTATGTGATTATTGGATGGATGTCTATTTTTCATTGGCACCCCCTCATAGGCTGAAATTTTTCATCCAAAAACAGACAATTAAAGGCATTTTTAAAAAAGTATATTACTTCATGTAGAAGATCTGATACTGAAATTTTACTACCAAATCAGTTACCTATACAATTATAAAGTCTACTTTAACTACCAAACCCAGTCATGTACAATATTTAATTTAACAGACTATTTGATTTACAGTAAGCCCCTGTTTACAGTCCCACCAAGGTTTAGCTACATGAAACATGAGGCTGTATCCAGATTTGGTCTCACCAATCAGCTGGTGATGAGGATGGGGGCAGGGCATGAATCTTAAAAGATCTCTGTTTTCCTCATAGCCCACAGAACCAAATCCAGAACATTGTGATATCCTCTGAAACCACATGGGTCGTGCTCGTATCTAGTTTTATCTGTGAACTGGCCCTACCTTTCAGTGTGTCAAATCTAAGTCCAACCCTACACTGTAATCCGGTAGCTGCTACATCAATCAGCTCCTTTCTTCCAGTTGTATTTTATAATGCTTTCCTTAAAAAACAACAACAACAACAAAAAAAACACCCTACTCTTTGATTAGCATGCCATTTATATATGGTCTTTCTACTATTTGCCTACAAATGGGACTCTTACAGATTGCCATTTATTTTTGTCTAGGAAAATAGCCAAAGTTCTTTCGCATCTCGGATGAGAAGTAGTTATATGCTTCCAAAATGTATTCTAAAGAAAGTTGGCAATGTTAAAATTACAATGAACAATGCAATCCCACAACCTTTTTACTTATTCTCTTGAATTCAATGGGCTTGTTCTCAGGTAATTTATTTATTTTTATTTATTTATTAAATTTATACCCTGCCGATCTAAACACAGTAGTTAGAAAAAGAATCTTGAGATCATAAAAGCAGTTAAGTCACAATGATCAACGGGTTTACTACACAGCAATCTGGTTGAAGTCACTGCTATTACAGGAGAATTACATAATTTGAGGACTGCAATTTAAATTCCTTCAGGATTACAATTGAAGGTAAGAGAGCACAGGATTGCAGCCTAAATCCTCAGTCAAAATTTACAACTTGACTACCACTACATATTAAATTAACAATTGCAGTACCAACTCCAAGTTATATAGATGGCTTCTTAACTGATTTGGGGCTGCCATCTAGGCACATGAATGCTTTTTAACTCTGTTGAGGGGCAGGCCCCTGAAAAAAACCTTCCAAAACCAGGACGGTCTATTCAAATGGCACCTGATTAGCCACAAACTGCTACTGGAAAGAAATACTCTTTCATGGCAAGTATAATGCTTTCTGCCTGGTCATAACAGGACTAAGTTTCTTCCTCTATGTGGAGAAAACAGGCACTGGTAGCTATATAAAAATGCCTATGTCTTTATTTTAATTTTAAGTAATGCTGATTATTATTTCAAATTAAACTGTATACATCCATGGATTTTAGATTTTTTGAACATATTAACATTTGCTGACCTGCAAATTATCTTAATATTCTGATTTATATCTGCCCTATCCCAGAGTTCTGTATAGTTAATTTTATATTGTTGTTACAAGCTATGAAGGAAACAAATTTCAATACCTCATACTTGCATCTGGCATGTGTCACATAACTGCACCTACAAAATTACTATTTTTTCTCAAATAAATGTAACAGCTTAACTTTTTTTTCTTAAAAGAAGCATTAATGGAAATGCTTGTCCTCATTCTTAAGAAAGCATTATTAGAAATGTACAAAGTAGATATAATTTGGAAACAAATGAATAGAATACAAGAGCAATTAATAACTGTCCTCTCATAAAAGAAAATCAGAAAGAGAGCAGTTACTTATGACTCTGGACTTGTGTTGCTGCAGTCATTCACAGGGTATGAATATCAGGTAACTTTAGACCTACTCTTGAAAACAGCTGCCACTATTAAAAGAATTCATGTACTTTCACAATTATTACAAAATGATGTATTTTGACTTCAACTTTGTAATTTCCTGAGCTAGAGTTTACAAAACACTACAGTAGTTAGAAAAAGTATCCTGAGATCCTAAAAGAAGTTAATCCACAATGATCAACACGTTTACTACACAGCAATCTGGTTGAAGTCACTGCTATTACTTGAGAATTACATAATTTGAGGAGTGCAATTTAAATTCCTTCAAGATTACAACTGAAGCACTGAGAGACATGTAGAGAGGCTAATTCTGCCAGATGAATATTTAAATGCTTTATGCTTCAGATATATTCAGAAGCATATACAATTCTGGAGAGGTTACATATTTCAGATCACACTGAATTTGTGTAATCTCAGAATGGGTCAACAAAGAATCAAACTGGTTTTTTGGGCAAATCATACAATCTACCAATATACTAGCGTCTTTGCCCTTTTGCTGTGAGCTGACAGTGATTATTTCAGAGAGGAAAAGTGTGGAATTAGTAATGCAGATGCTGAAAGGCAAGTGGCAAGGCTGTACAAGAAGAATGCCTCCAGTAATTCTACTTGTTCCCAGTTCTACTGGCATCTACCCACAAGGTAAAGGGCCAGAATGACCAAAGCCAATTTAATACTAGTGTGCAGAATGTCAGCCAAACAAACAACATAAAACAAGTCACGTTGTGTTATCTGTGGTCACGTTCTTCAGGGTTAGTCCAAGAACTCAAGACTTTACATTCTTCCGTCTTTTCTTGTTTCTTTTAATTAAACATGTAATGGTTAATAAACTGACATAGTCCAAAGTTAGTAGGTTGGTATTATAACATTTATTAAAATAATGCTATGGGTTAATAGAAACAGCAAAGAACCAAAGAATTAAAATGCAAGCTATGTAAAAACCCAAATAAAACCCAAATATGTCTAATGTATTCAATTCTGTAGCTAACTAAAAGCCCAAGAAAGACAACACTCCCAATATAATAATAAAGTACTGCAAAACAATTGGCAATTCTCAGTTATCAAAATTGTGGGTTTTGCATTTTTGTATCCTTTTCTCAATCAGGAAAAAAATTCTTCTGAATGTTATATAACATACATATAAAACAAGATAGAAAAATACATTATAAACTTGTAACAATGGCTGTAAATACATTATCTTACATGTTTCTCATAGGCAATAGGTTGGTTATGGTACATACATAGCATCAAACTAAGATAAAGGAATAGACAAATACATGTTATCTGTACGGTTACATACAAGCGACACTCCCATATTACCCACTCTAAAAAATTACATAATACTGTCAGAAAAAAGACTTAAACTACATATCTTAATAAAGAAAATTCAATAAAGAATGATAATACTGAGAACCAAGGCATTCAGAGATTCAAAAGTCATGCTTAATGTTGATCCAAAATGTTGTCAACTAAGTCTTCAAACTTTTTTCAGAACAAACATTACTTTTGCAAGTCACACTTCTGCCAAGAAGAGAACTTTGATCAGCATCTAAAAATGTCCAGGTTTATCAGAGCTGAGATGAAACTGGATCAAATACTGGTAACATTTTAGCAATTCTCTCTCCAAAAGGTTTGAGTGTCGCAAGTTTATTCAATCAAACAAAAATAAAAATGGCACAGCATATACTGAAAGTCAAACCAAAAAACCCCTAAGTGTAACAGGAAGACAAAGCCAGTGGCAGGATAAAAGAAAAGCTGAGTACAAAAGATGAATGTTTATTGCATAGTAAATAAATTGATACTTGTTTTCAGGTGAGACACAATGCTGACAAAGTCACCATGCAGGTGCTTTAAAAAGAAGCCCTCTTTACTAACTTACTGTTGACCTTTTGATTTGGAAGCTGTGAAGGTTTTGGGGAGAATAAGTTGACAAAAGAGGGGAAAAGTTATCACCTGATCTTTGCCAAATCTGGTTCAAAGCCATTAGCACATCACTACTTGTTCCTTATTTTTATATGTCACCTTTGTGCGTATAGTGTTTACCACCAATAACCCAGCTATGTAAACCTTTCTGGACTCAAAAAGTAACACAGCTAGACTTCCAAGATAGTAACTAATATGTATTCTTGAAGGCTTTCACGGCCGGGATCTGATGGTTGTTGTGAGTTTTTCTGGCTCTTTGGCCATGTTCTAATAGTAACTAATACTTTTTCCTTTTTTCCTAGCACAACCAGCAGTTAACATTCATCAAGTAGGAGTTTGATGAGAATTATGCACTGTATACTCTATTTGGCATGAGAGATGAAACACACAAAAATGTAAAAACATGCTCAAAGACAGGTTATCTGAATATTCAGTTTCATCATGGGGAATAAAATCAACCTGTAGCAAGCTTAAGTTCTACTGTACTTTCCTGCACTTATTACAGAGACAATACAACTTACCCTTAAGAGAGAAACACTTGCTACTGTATAAATACTGTAATCTAATACTCTGATTTAGAACAAGACTGCATCTTAGAACCCTTTGGTTTAAGGCTGAGCAAGTACTATAAAAATATATTGTCTAAAATTGAAGAGGGAACATGTTACAAAAATATTGCAGTTGGCTGTTGGTGGAACGACTCTATTTCACAGTTTCGGATCTTCCAAAGTTGCATCATGCTATGGCAAAAACCAGGCAATTTAAATGGTCAACTCATTTGTCTTTCCTCACAGCTTCTTTTCACATACTGGGCGACTGAGTGGCATGCATTAACTTGCTGTCTGAGGGAGGAGCTGATAATACAAGACATCTGACTAAATGACCATGAAGAAAATAAGGCACTTTCTTTTCTTTATACTTATTCCAATACTTAAAAAATAAAAAAGAAAGACAAAAAGGCTCTTTTGGTCTTTTGTTTCTCGACAACCACCAGAAAAAATCATTTTAATGAAATAAAGGGTTTCTTTGTTCTTTTTTCTTTTTTATAATACTTGAAAGTATAAAATGCTACATTTCCAAAAATATATTTTTTTCTGCACCAGCACCCTTGTATAGTAAAAGTATCTACTTTTTTTTTCAATTTGTTTCAATGCACTACACTTTATCTACAATTTCATTACATGTATACAGCAAATAGGCAAGCATGGCTTTTACATCCTTATGAACTTTCGCTATACAGGGAGGTTTAAAAAATATTTGAACAGTTTGCCCAGTAATGTGACACATAATGCATGTACCTTGTACTCATGTAACTTTTTAAGGAAGTAGATGAACAGTAAAAGAAACTGTATCTCAGGATTAGCTTGAATAGTGTTGCTGTTCTGTTTATGCATTGACGTAGTTCAAAAACTCAGTAACCTATCTTCCATGGCACTTTTTTCTCTTAAAAACACCCAATTTGGCAGGTAATATAAAAAAGGCTGCATCATCTGCCCTTTGAGGGCACTGGTAGTGACTACACTGCACATCAAATTTTGAATACTTTTAGGAATCCCTTCACCAATGACATCCCTGACCAAAGGTTCATGCATGATGCATCATCACACAGTACATTCAAAGAGAGCTTCGACTTCTTTATGAGAAGAAAAAGATTCCTAGAAGTCTCACAGTAACTGCCTCTGTCATCTGGGAGTTTAAGGGGCATCTGCCTCCATCTCTTAATCGAGGCCCTTCTTACCATTCATTTAGGACAGGACACTAAAATATGATCAGTGCGAAGGGATGAACTGGACCTTATTGCTTTACTACTATTCAGTGCAGGTTCTAGAACCACTTTCACCCAAACAGGGAAAAAAAGCTGAGTTGGAGGACAACAAATTCTTTGTCTTTTTGTTAGATGGTAAGACGAACGGACAAGTGCCTCAGCTCGCTGCACTGAAGACAGGCAAGCAAAGGCGATTACCAGTTAACTGATCAGCAGGCAGGCATGGTCAGGTCATCATTGGGTGAAGAGTTCAGAGGTCAGAAGGTCATAGGTTAGTTGCCGGTGGCGGCTGGGTGGTTAGAAACAAAAAAAAAACAAAAACAAAAAGAAAGAAAGATAGAGAAGAGATTAGTTTCAGCTAGTGACGGCTTAATGACAACATGAAAACTAATCACAACTAATAAAAAACAAGCATGTTTAATTTTGACATACTGCTTGACACCATCTACAGAATGCAATAAAAATCATGACAGCCTTGTATCATGATTTGAATGTATGAAGGAGAAGCCCACTCCCACAAAACTGGTTAACAAGGAAAAATAGAAATAAAATATAACAACTAATGGTTAGTAGCAGTCGATGAAAGAAAAAAAACAATGAACAGTTTCTGGAATTTGCTGAAAGAATTTAGAACAGTCAGTGCACCATATCAGTTTCTGACTGCTATTAAGCATTAGTATTTTCCCATGTGCAAGCATCAAAGCGACTAGTAATGATGAATGTGATTATTAATAACTGATTGTTAAAAAGAAATGAATCTAAGAAATTTGAACTGGTCACAAACAATTTAGTTTTACAAACTATGGGCCAAACAAGTATTTTTGTTCAATAAATTTTTATTGCTTTTCAATGATTCTATTTACAAACAATACTGAATTTTCTTGGCTTCATGATACAAAGCAATACTAAATCGAAGTGTAGGCATCATCATGGGAATCAGGAAAAGGCCGTATGTTCTAGCCAGCGTTTTCCTGCTGAAAATGCTATTTTACACATATAGAACACTAAGAAAATGCACTTTTATGTAAACACTGTAAAAGTCCTGCCATTTAAAATTCTATACTTAAAATGCTCTAGTTACATCAAAAATAGAGGAAATCTAATTGATACTAATAAGGCATTTTAAAAACTACAACGAGCTCTTTTTTTCAAAGCTAATACTCTGCAAATACAATAAAATCTGACATTTCATATACATTCCTGCTTTATATTTTTATATTTTAAAAGAAGCCACCTTGTAAATACTATTTTCTTTTCCAAAACACACAAAAAATTACAGTATAACATAAAAAAAGTTCTCAAGTGGAAAGTTATCATTCCCATTGTTCTTGAGCTGTTCCTTCTTTAATGACTCTCTCATACATTCTCCTTCAACAACTTGGTCCACTTTACAGTAGTACAAATTTTAAGACTCATTCAACAGCTTTATCATCTCTAATAAATTCTGAGGTTTGATAAGAGTATTTGTACTGTTGCCATTGACTAAAGCAGAGGAGATGAAAGTGAGAAAGGTATTCAGTGCAAAGTCAGATTTGTGCCGTTTCTTAAAATGAAATTAGGTAGGTGCAATGTTCACCGAAAACACACTTTTAAATGACCTATTTCATCGGTTGGATTCTCTTCACGTTATATTGTTTCTATGGCCTATCATTTAGGCTACAGTTCATGAACACTAGACATTACTGCTGTAACTCAAATGAGACCTTGTGTTCCCTGAATTGATTTTTTAATAAAAATCTAGAAAGTGGGGTTTAAGTTAAAAACTGTGTAGAAAAAAACAAAAACAAAAAAACTTAAAATTTAAAATAAATATTTAATGTGGCATCAATTTGCCACTGTAAAATGTATACTATATCCAGAATTTTAAAGCATTCTTGGTAGTTACTACAATTCTGATTAAAATTGTATTAAAATTTATATATATAAATTATGTGAAAACTGGCTCGAGAAAAAAACATTCAGTTATGGCCTTAAGCATAGCCATTTCTTGTGGTATGTAAAATCAATGCAAGCTATCTTTAGATACCAATACACCTGTGATACATCCTCTGCCAAGTCCCTGACCTTCTACAGTACACACAGGTTTGTCAACTGTGCAACACCATTTACAATTTATTACAATTAGATCAGTGAGTCTCTCTGTTACATGGATCAAACTTGGTTTTGTATGATTTATATAGCGGGGCCTTAACCTTAACCGATGAAGTACTACCAAAGGTTTCAATTCCAAACATACTGGGGGCTCTTGCTCTAAAAACAATGCTTACATATAAGGTATCATTAAGAATAAAAGTTGCTTAATGAGAGAATACAATAGTAGGTTATTAATTTGGAAAACAATTTAACCATAGACCCAATGAATGCACATTCATTTTCTTATCTGCTCATAACTTTTGTCTTATGAAAAGATAGCAATTCGGTTTACTGACATTGCATTTTAACTAGCATCAATGTTGTACAACTAATCAAAGTGTAAGTGAAGCTATTTCAAAACTTGTGAAAATCTACTACAGATGTAATTAAGAAGTGGACTGCATAAGAATCTTATCAAATGGGAAAATGGGTGTAGCACTTTGATCTACTGCAGTACCATCTACTGCTCAAAACATAATAGATGAAGGCAATTTTACAGCTTTATGAAATCTGAAATTATCTACAATGTTCAACAATTTCTTACATTTCTGAACCATGTAGCACCATTAGAAAAATATGCAGTTATTACTAAAGGAGAAAAGAGTTTAATTGGGAAGGTACTTTGGAACCTCCCACTATAACATAACTGCAAATACTACATATCTTCAAAGACTGCTTGAAGCAAACCTGTAAGCATTGATGCCATCATAATTTATTTGAAGCAAAAATTAAACACAAGTCTGAATAGTTTTCTGATGCCTGTCAAAACTAGATAAAAACAAAAGTAGATTACAAGTTCTGTAACACCCAACTGCCAAAACATTTCAGTTCAAACAAACAAATAAATAAAAAGTCTGTAGGCAGTCTGAATACCACTCATTGTTGCATTTCTCCAGAAAGAACAGGAAAGGAAAGCATTCTCTCTCATCCCAACCAACACATTTGTCCTTAGTAAGAGCCTCGTGGCGCAGTGGTTAAATTGCTGTACTGCAGCCAAAACTGTGCTCACAACCTGGGGTTCAATCCCAGGTAGCCGGCTCAAGATTGACTCAGCCTTCTATCCTTCCAAGGTCGGGAAAATGAGTACCCAGCTTGCAGGGGGGGGGCAATGTGTAGCCTGCATAATTAACTTGTAAACCGCCCAGAGAGTGCTTCAAGCACTATGGGGCAGTATATAAGCAGCACACTTTGCTTTACTTTTTCTTGTCTAGATATGGGTAATTTTCCAAATAAGAGTGAACTGACCTGGATCTATTATAGACTAACTTTTCACATTTTAAACATTATGACCACACACAGTGTGTAAGAAAGCATGATCTTCTCCCAACATATGTAGAGAGAAGGTAGGTCAAAATAGTTTTGAAGGGAACAATCATGATCATGACACAACATATGCAGTACCTTTTCAAAGAAATTAAATATATTTCGGGAATACAGTGTTACATTTTATAAAAGCTCTAAAAGCTATTTTATTTAAGTGCATCTCCAGTGTGGAATGTTTCTAAAGATAAGATCCTCTGCTGTGAGCCCAAAAACTAATTAATGTACAAAGAATGGTTAAATCTCCTGAAAGGGCTCTGGTGTGGTATAAATACTAATTTTGTGTTGTCATCAATTCTTTTCAGGGTTTCTGAGTGGTTTATCATTCCCTTCTTCTTCTGGGGATATCCTAGGACTGTGCAGCTTGCCCAAGGCCGCACAAGCTGGCTCTTTTAGGTTGCACAGTGGGGAAATGAACTCCCAACCTCTAACTCTAAAGCCAGATATCTAACTCACTGAGCTATCCAGCTAGCTCCTGGAGTGGTATATAGCACTTCAAACCTTCTTATTAGGATGAAATATCCATTGCCTGAATTTACTATAATCCAATAAATCTTTAAAAAAAAGCAAAAAGTAACACTTCAACACTTCATTCTGATTTGCACTTTAGAACTTGATAAGACACATTAATCCACACAACACCCCAATGAGAGAGGGAAGGAGCATTCACGTGTTAACAAATGGTACAAATTCAGAAACCAAGTTGATAACACTAGGAGGAAAATACAAACTTCCAGTAATGTGCTCAATGTCAATAAACCGAGAGTTCAACTTTCCAAAGAAAATTCAGTCATTCAGGGCCTATGATTTCACAAGGGTTGCAAATTCCATTTCACATAAAGGAGAAAATGAAGATTTATTTTCCATTCAGCCAAGCCAAACAAGGTCTAAAAACAGTTGTGTTTGCTAACCAGAACATCAGAATCACAACAGGTTCAGAAAACTCAGCAGCAAATTATAGAAATAAAAAAATTCATCTCTGACAGAAAAAACTAGGAAAAAAGATTTTTACCAACACAAATCTTTACTGACTTATATATATTGTTTGTACTGTTCTTTTACAAAACACTGGGGAAATTTTCTCAGGTATCTGATAAAGCTATAATACAGATGTACCAATGTTACTGATTAACAGAGGAAACTAAATCTTCAGCTTTCTCCTGACGTAGGCACAAAGCATTTACTTCTCTCTCATTAAGCATACATCCATTCATTTCATTTTGCAACACCAATCTGATATTTCCATTTAACAAAGAGTCACATGGGAGCAGATCTACTATGAATGTAGCACTACGACTTGAGTCCTACATGAATTATTAGCTCATACATGGTGCTTACAAAAGGCATAAGTTATAACATTTACACTGAATACACTGAAGGCATCTAACACTCAGAAATATAGAAAGGGTACAGTAGTTTACACACTCTTAAACTTATTGAAAAATATTACTTTCATTTCAGCTGAATGTAAAACATCAATAGAATGGTCAAATAGTATTTGGTTAACCAGCTGTGGTGTTGCAAATTTCACATACACTCAAAGCATTTCTTATAAGCAAGAACTGCAGAACTACACTAACCTCTGTCTGCGGTCACAATCCTTTGGTAAGGATGGACACGCATATCGTGCCTTCGAACTTTAGTAGCCACCGCACCTAGTTAAATTGCAATTACCAAGACAGTTAGAAAACATTTGAAAAAACATTAACAGCAGGCTTATCAAAATGGAGTTTTAATGATCACTTTTTTTAAAAAATCATTTAAAGTAAGCAACAAGTTAAGGCACAGTAGTTTTCAAATTTTAACCTTAATATATGGAGTTTATCTGCACAGATTAATATTGCATTTTTTTAAAAAAAAACATCCAGGCCTTAACCTGCAATATCCATTCATTTATAAACTTGATTACAGGAAATATACTAGGCTCAAACATTTCTGAGCTTTACTAGTCACATAATCACTGAAGTGCCTTCCTTGCAGCAGGACTATCTTAAATAATGCCATTTTAATACTGAAGGTTCTTTGCTAATTTTAAAACAACTTCCAGTTTTTACCTTTTTAAGATATTTTAAAGCAATTCCTCAAGCCTACAGATTGGTTTAAAACTAAGTCAATAACTGTGAACTGCAATGAATTAGGTGATTAGTAAAGCAAATAGTATGAATACACAGCAGTCAGTATACTACCATACACTCATAAATCACAGCTAGTTTGTCATAGCACAGGCTACACCAAATTAATAGCATTTTTATTTCTATGTGCAAAAAAGTGCAAGTAAGTCACTGACTGCTAGGCTACATTTTTTTCCAAAGGCTGCTGAAAACTAAGCATTTGTTAAAGTCAGCTCTGATGAGGATTCAATTAAGACCATTCTTGAATTCTTAGCCTTTCGTTGGGAAAGCCATACCTAAAGGCAAAAGGAAGGGAATTAAAAATTAGTAAACTAAGATCTGATGCTCTTGTCAATCCTCCCTTGCAATATTATATATTTATCATAAATTAACTACCTGTGAACTTCATATTAACCTACAATTTCAGCATGTAACCAAGGTAATCATGTGCATACCTATTACATATCACTGAAATCAATGAGTTCCTGTTAATATCTTTTTAACACTGTATCATTTTACATATTATATCTAATAGTGTACATAGTTCATCAGTACCATGTATATCTGCCACAATTCAGCTGCAACCAATTCTTTTTTTCCAAAGCTGTGATTATCTCTGCACCTTCTTCCCCAGTGCAAACACTGCCCTGACACAGGTGTCATAGTCAAAGAGGAAGCTTGTGCCCACCACATCAGTAGCAACGTTCTGTAATTTGTAGCACCTACAAAGCTCTGGCCCTGGTCAACGATACTGAAATTTGTTGTTTAGGTAACATCACGAATGAAAAAAGACTTTTGAACAATTCCATAAAGTTATTTTAAATTAGCATACAGTATCCCAAAGTGTGGGAGGAAAAGCTCTGCTAAAAGTGGTTAACTATGATAATTATACTTATCTATTTTAACTTCTTGTAAAGAAGAAAGGTGGGATATAAATATTTTAAACAAATAATGTATAGTATTAATTTGAAATGTTATCGTATTTGTCCATTTACTGTGGTTAGAAACAGAAAAACAGTCCAGTCTCAAAACTAACCTAGCTATTTAGGATGAGGTGTTATCAACATAAAATTAATGAGAACAAAGTGCAAGAAAGAAAAACAACTGATTGGTTGTTGTGGGTTTTTCGGGCTTCTTGGCCGTGTTCTGATTGTTTGAAAAAATTTTAGATTGGATACAACATAACGTAATAATTTAGAAATGGTGCATCAAAGGCAGAATACCATGATGATGTCCAACTGCCAATACTTATTACACTAATACTTATGGAAATCACATATCCACAATATGTTATGAATAACTTGCATTTAGATGATTAGATAGATAGATAGATAGATAGATAGATAGATAGATAGATAGATAGATAGATAGATAGATAGATAGATAGATAGATAGATAGATAGATAGATAGATAGATAGATAGATAGATAAGATAGATAGACAGATTAGACAGATAAGACAGACAGACAGACAGACAGACAGACAGATAAGATAGGTAGACAGATAAGATAGACAGACAGATAAGATAGACAGACAGACAGACAGACAGACAGACAGATAGATAGATATCCCTGAAGCTGGGTGAAGAGATTTGCTACTGGTGAATAAAGATTAATAGTTAATAAATTAATAATGATCTTCCTGAACAAACTAGCACCATCCTGAAAGAAAAGATGTGCAGATGAGAAAATACGGGATAGCAAGAAAAATTGCCGTAACAATAACCCCAACCCATAACACTGAAACAATGAAAGCAAAAGCAAAAATGAAAGCAAAAGCAAAAATGTGAGCACTGAGTGTTTTCCTGTGATTTAAAGGAATGTATGAGCTTATGTACAGTATGCACAGAAGATTTAAGTATTACTTTTGTTTTCTTAAAGAGATTATGGGTGTTACAGAATCACAGAACAATGGAGTTGGAAGGAAGCTATAAGGCCATTGAACCAATCCCTGTTCAATGAAGGAATCCAAATCAAATTATATATGACAAATGGAAATCTAACATTTTTAATGCCTCCAATGTTGGGGCACGCACCACCTCCTGAGGCAATTCATTCCATTGCCATACTGCTCTAACAGGAAATTTTTTCTGATATTCAACCAAAATCTGGCTTCCTGTAACTTAAACCCATTATTATGTGTCCTGCATTCTCGAATGACTGATAACAGAACCTATCAGTCCTTTGTATGACAACCTTTAAAGTATTTGAAGAGTGCTATCATATCTCCCCTCATAACCAGCCAAAGTTTATGGAGCAAATGCCACTGATTTCAATGGAAAAACTGGACAGATACTTAAACAGAGTCATGTGTGTGTACTTAAGAAGTCTAATTGGCTTTAATGAATGTTACCCCTAGGTAAGTGGGTATTTTGGGGTCCCAACATCCTGTCACTGAATGCCTCTCACAGGAATCATCAAGATCCCCTGCACCTTCCTTATGTTTTAATTAACCAAGTAAGCAAGCATGTGATGGGATGTGCAGGGTACATATCTGTAAGAAAAACAGTTCTGTAGCAATTCAGAGAAACAAGTATGTATGTATGTGGGTGGGAAAAGAGACGTAGAGGAAGAAAAAGGTTTTGTGTGTTTGCAGTGTGCTTCTTGAGTACGGTTTGGATAACCTCCCTATTTTTTACAATATATTTGGTGGAATAAATTAATTTCAAAGAGAAATAATGGACTTGCCAACCAATTAAATGAGTGATTTGTTGATGTGAAACTGGATTCAAAGCAGTGGGACTCCTTTGTATTCTGGAGCTCAGACCCACCCTGTTTCTTGCATTCAGGTTCCTCAATCAGTTTTTTTAACCTTAACAGTTTGCCTTTCTGGGCAAATGGGTGCTTCATGATACCAACCACTTTGCAATTGTGCCCATGATGCCATCTCAAAATTCCAAATAAAACCCTGAAAGTTTGGGGATCCAGGGCCGTAACAGTGCAGCCAATTTCTCTCAATCTGTAACAATCCAGAAAAGCAAACCAACTGACTCCCATAAACTTAGTTTATGCATATTATTATTTATGTTCTAATCTAATTTCATTTATTGCAATTGCTTTAAAATTCCAAGCACACTTAACTGACAGTGTGCATTTATAATACAGATGTGCATATGTACATTATATTTCTCCCTCATGGCCACCTTCAAAAACAACGAAGTGTTTTCATGAATAGAAATAGCCCAGTTAGTACTGCCTTGTGTCCTGTTCTTTTTTATTCCTGTTCAGGGAGGTTTCATATATGAGTGTTTTGTGTGTGTGTGTGTGTTTTTTTTTTGCTTTCAATGACATGTCTCTGCATTTATGAGTTATAGTGCACATCATCTTAAATTCTTAATCATCTTTGCACTGAGTTCCAGTACATTGATGTAGAAACACTGGTAAAAACAGAATGGAACCAATGCTACTAAGGGCCTCCCCATCTAATGACAATGAACGAATATACTGTATTTATAATATAGTGGTTTAAACTTTTTCACAGTCCAGTACCACTAATAAGATGAGACACCATATGTGTCTCATCAACACAGAAATTAGTACACTTCTCCCAACTATTACACCGACTTTCCCCAACATAATGTTCTCCAGATGATAAGGACTCAAGTTGTTGTTGGCCCTGGGCACTAGGGCTTTGTGGGCTAGGGCTGATGGGATATGAGGTTCAAAATTTCTGGAGGGCACCACAACAGGAATGTCTACTTTAATGTTAAGGCACTGCTTTTTTATATGTTTCAAAATTATAATAGCACTCTCTCACAAAGAAGTGGGGGAAAGACTACATTATATCTTCTGGTAAGCACTTCCAAAACCCAAGAAGCAAAAAATTAGCAAACCTTAAACTGTTACCAATAAAAAATGCATCAAGTTGCCAATATATTCCAACTACAGTTTTGTCTGGAACACTAACATCAAGTTCATCTATAGAAAAACAACAACAACAAAAACCAACTGCTTCCATATAAATGTTACTAGAGCATGAGTACAGTATGTGCGCCATACTTATTTACAAGAAAAGCCACGTGCTCTAAAAACATACTGTTTATCATTTCAGAAAGTACATTCTTGTCAATGCAACCATAAAAGTAATCTGCAAGTTACACAATAGTAACTTTATGTAACACATCACCTGATAAATGATCAATTAATTTTCTGCATAAAACTTACCTAATACACCACTGGGTTCAATAGGATACTCAAGAATCGATGTAGCAGGTGCCAGTGTGTAGGGATACTCATAAGGTGTGTAAATTAAACCAGCTTCAGGTCCTGGGGGAACTATTGCAGCAGTTGGGTGAGGAGTTCCATTTGGCATGACAGCGGTCTGTATTTGTCTGATCAAAGGCATTATGGTAGGGCCAGCTGGCGTAGGGGTACGCAGGGCAGCTGGTGGGAGAACAGGCGCAGGCCCTGTGATAATCCTTGGAGCCTGAGCTGTTGCTGCAAGAGAAAAGGCAAGGGCTGCTACAGTAAGCAAAGAAATTTAGAAGAAAGTATGGAGACAGCAGTGCAAAACATGGAAAGATGGGAAAAGTAGAAAAGTAGGAAAGAAGAAAAATAAAAGGAAATCATTAGTACATGCATTGATCACACAGTGCCAAAGCACACCATTCAAAAGCAAACAGCTTTCCATTTCCCAGTGTGATTAAATATGAACATGCAAAATAAAAGCCAATTTAAAATGGTAAAGTAGATTTCTAAAACAGGTTACACAGCACAAAAGCTCAATTTAGACCACATATTTTTCATTACCTATGCCTTCAAGACTGCATGAGACTGAGAGGCATGCAGAAAACAGAGAAAATACTGTTGTAATTACATATGGAATATTAAAAATAGTGAGATTATAGTCAACAGAAATTCAGTGAAGCTCAGATCTCATACAATATGTTTCAGCTGCAGTTTAGCATATAAATATGACATTTAGTATGCAAACACTAAACCTTGTTTATAACATACCCATTTTAAGGATTACTGCAATCTTGATGTTCACAAGATTATGTACAGAAATCTTGATTATGTACCTGCCCACCAATATTTCCCCTACTATGACATAGCTATAAAATATGTAAACATTATTCTGAAAAAAAGAATGACTGTACATATTTTAGAAAAGTAACATTTAAACCATTAGCAGAGTTAGTTAAGATGCACAAAGTGTGTTAGTACACAATGCTATCAACTGTTTTCAGAACCAACTACAAGATCTTGTCACTACTTCCTTGAGATAACCCTAGTTTCATTGCTAAAATATAGTGCAATGCAACTGAGAGCTAAATATTGAGACTACAATCCACAGGCTATGGGAATTGGGGGTGCTGCACACCTTATTTACTGGAGTTTATTACACCAGTATAGCTTGATTATAAAACAGGCAGAATAACCATCTGGCATTAAACTATGATTCAGGAGACTGAGTGGATGAATTCTTGTTTCTTATACCCTTTGCCAGAGGTTAGGAAAAATATTGATTACGGATCATTAATTAAAGCACATCCACTCATTTCCTAGTTTCTGCCTTGTTTATATCCCACTATATACAAGCAGATTCCATTATCATATGAGAGATAAAAGCCAACATGTCAAGTAACATTTACATACAAACAAATTGAGGACAACCCGATGATTTTCCCCCTGCAAAACACATGATCGCACCCAGAGTTATGCATACATAATAGAGCTGGCACAAGCACACGCCCACATTTCTCCCCCCCCACTAGCCATCCATGAGCTCCCCCCACTGCCCAAGAAAATGTTAAGCAGATGGTCTCGCATGTCTTCCTGAATGGGATGGGCTGAGAAGAAAGAGGTTCAAACTGCTACAAATTCACTTGCCAAAAGAAAAAGGGGGAGAAAATCTTTGTTATTAGCAAGTGGGAACACTAAGGGAAGGAGGTTGGAATACAGCTACTGAATTAGGCTTCTGGAAAAAAAACCCTGTAATCATTTGTGGGAAAGGGGGAAAGAGCATGCTCTAGTTATCAGTGGCACCCACAACTGACCGATCCTATTCAACATAAATGCATTAAAAATCCCTATACAGTATTGGGAAGACGTGCATAAAAATTATATATGCTGAGGTGGGAATCCTATATTAGAAAATTACATAGTAAAAGATATGAAGGGGAATTTCCATTAAAAAGTGTGTATTAGGAAAAACTATGTACAATATATATAGTGGATAAATATTTCATTAAAAACATTGTAAACATTGTAAACTATTATAAAAATGAAATGGAATGAACTTCTTCCAAGAAATTTAATGGTTCAAGAAAACAAAAGATAAATTTCAACATTCCTAGGTTAAAGGCATTTTCATAATATTCTTCTGGATAGCTGAAATAATTTTTCCTAAGGAAGGGCATTTTTGTGGGATTCTGGTTTTTTTCTCAAATTGGACAGAAGTGACTTGTTCAAACAAGATTTCAATCTCTTCCCAATGATGAAGGACCTCTTTCCACACAACTTGCAGGCCACCACATTCAGTGGGGGCTCAAAATCCAAGAATCAAAGAAGGAGACAAGAAAAATTGCTTTTAGTAGCCTTGCTGTACATGTATAACCAGGTCTAGTACAATGTTTCGCACCCAAACTATCACTGTGGACTTTTTTCAGTTTTTGGTCTTGTGTCGAGTTGTAAAGCAGTGGGCCTGTGAAAGCATAATTAAGCTTATACTGAGGCCCAAATCCTGTTGAGTCAATCACGACCACACAAAGCTGATGATGTCAACAGCAAGGGGAAATTGCCAGTAATTAAAGAAAACTGATTAGCAAATAAAACTTTATTTTATTTTATTTTTTACAATTTGGATAACATTTTTATAAACCATTTGTATATCAATTCCTTGGGTGGCTTTAGCGATTTGTAGGTGGTCTAATGTCACAGATATCATTGGGACTTGAGCAAATATAAAAAGTCATTTATAAATAAGACATCCACTGATAATCTAGTTTTCCCAAATCAGACTAGCTAATTTGATCTTTATACATTATTTGATAACTATGAAAATTAAGAAGTTTAATTTGAACTGTTTACTTCTGGTACATACTATGAAAAGTGCAATGGATAACGAATTATTTGATTATATCATGAAGTGCCTCCAAATTCTGTCTCCTTTTAATAAAGTACATTTAGCTTTAGAGGATACATGGCAAACCCACAGGCTCCTGATTCTGCTGCCTGATTAATACAATGTTTCCACAAAAATAAGACAAGGTCTTATATTAATTTTTGCTCCAAAAATGCATTAGGGCTAATTTTCAGGGGATGCTTAATTTTTTTCATACACAACAATCTTCATTTATTCAAATACAGTCATGTCATCTTCTGGTTTCTGCTCAATGGTTGGAGGGGCGGGGTTTCATTTAACTGGGGCTTATTTGGGGGTAGAGCTTATATTATGGGAATCCTGAAATATCATGTGTGTGTTCAGTCGTTTAGTCGTGTCCGACTCTTCGTGACCCCATGGACCAGAGCACGCCAGGCCCTCCTGTCTTCCACCGCCTCCCGGAGTTGTGTCAAATTCATGTTGGTTGCTTCGACGACACTGTCCAACCATCTCATCCTCGGTCGTCCCCTTCTCCTCTTGCCTTCACACTTTCCCAACATCAAAGTCTTTTCCAAGGAGTCTTCTCTTCTCATGAGATGGCCAAAGTACTGGAGCCTCAGCTTCAGGATCTGTCCTTCCAATGAGCACTCGGGGTTGATTTCCTTTAGAATTGATAGGTTTGTTCTCTTTGCAGTCCAGGGGACTCTCAAGAGTCTCCTCCAGCACCACAATTCAAAGGCATCAATTCTTCGGCGGTCAGCTTTCTTTATGGTCCA